CACTCCTAGCTTATTTAAATTTGTAACATAAACACTATTAATTTTAGGAAAGAAATGCTATAGGTACTAGCAATTCAATTTTAATTGCTCTTTTTAAAAGGTTTCCTTAGTGTTATAGAGAGATCTTAAAATATACCACAGGAATGATAAGATAGAGCCTACTTGGATACATTATAATATTAGTATTCAATCAAAAGAATGATATTAAATTAAAAGGAAATTATTTACTTGAACTGTAACTGATACTGGCCAATGTTTAATTAGAAATGAACCAGAATGATTTTTTAGCTTTGTTTACTGCAGGTTTGGGTACTCACAGTAAGTTAAAATTAATGTTAACATTTGAATTAGTGTTGTTTGTCTAATCTCAACATTACGTTTTATCCGTGTTCATGGAGCACAAGCAGACATTCCAAACATGTGAATAATATTCCCAAATAACTGATATGGGAAGGCATTATATTTTGGAAGTTTGTGTGTGTATGTGTTAAAATTTGTTTCTAAGTTATTTTTGCTTAGTTTAAAGATTCACCATGTGAATTCAGATGGCATGATTCAGTTTGTTTTTAGACACAACTAAATAAATGTGAATTTAATAGTAGCCAACATGCCTGTTTACATATATTAATTTATTTAATAGTAGCCAACATGTTCTGTTTACATATATTAATTTATTTAATTCATTCACTAGTCTTAAGAGGTAGAAATTATTATCATTATTATTCACACACAAGATTTGGCTCTTAACCATTATATCTTAACACCTCTTTACAGAATCATAGTACAGATAGAGGTGGGAGGAATGCCTTCCAGAAGCATGTAAAATGAAAGTAAAAATTCTAAAATTATACATGATGATCAAAAACTGATTGTAGATAGAGTTTTGAATATGGAAAATAACAGACTATATTTGTTAATCAACTTTAAATGTTAAACTTAAATAATTCTTAAGTCAATACTTTAGTTTTTAATTTTGAGTACATACTAAATATTAGGCACTGGCTAGGTGCTTTCACATATGTTATTTCACTTCCTACATAGCATTTCTCAACCCTGTGATGCTTGTTTTTATTGTTTGGATTTCAAAATGAAGAAACATGGCTCATACTCATGTGTCTATCGGCATGATCTGACCCTTACATTAAGGGGGAAAAAGAATCCTGCTTCTCTTGCCAAACATATCCTGGAATTCTGATGTTCAAACAAAATAATATATTGGGACACCTGCCAATAATTATATTTGAATATCACACTCCTTTGGAGGCATGCCTAGATCTTCTGTCCTCACAGGAAAGTAAAGGAGAATTGGCTAGTATGTATGCTGACACCCTCTTATCTACAGCTCTGTTTTGTGCCCACCTCCATTAGGTAAGAAACAGGAAACAGACCAAAAAATAAATCAAAATAAGGACAAAATCTGTATATCACAGAGATTATCCTAAAACTTGATTGATGAGAAACACTTTAGGGTTTTACTTAGAGCTCATTTGCTCTTACTTTAGACACAAGCGCTGCAGATTTGCTGTCTTAACCAGGCATATAATTCATATTATTTTAATAACCCTCTTAGTGTTGTCAGTTGATGGATCCTTAAATTTATCTTTATAATTAGAAAGTTGCTGCAGTTTTCAACTCTGAAAGCCATGGTGAATTATTAAAATTGTCTACATGCAAACTTATTACATTTTTGTTTCTTTTTTAAAATAATTATTTTATTTAACTTTATTTATTTTATTTTGACCAGAGAGGGACAGTGGGGGGGGGAGGGAGGGAGGGAGGGGAAGAGAGAGAGAGATAGAAAGAAAGTGAGAAAGCAAGCCACCAGGTCTGGGACTCGAACCACATTGGCCATGTGGGGGTCCAGCACCTCCACTTTTGTTTCTTACTATAGTTTCAAAGAGGGATCTTTGCAGAGGAAACATTTTCTTTGATTTAGAAGTATGGATTGGATAGTTTTGGGGAAAGCCAACCAGATACAGTTTTCCTCCTCATTGTAAATAGGTCTTTCAGTAAGATTTAACTGCCATGATGGAATCAAAACAATTCTGGGGTAGAGGTAGAGTTTTTGTTTGTTTGTTTGTTTGTTTTAAATTATTT